CTTCAATGTCTTTACATTTTGGTGTCTACCAGTTACCTTGTTGCTAAGTCACATTCTTCATCATTCTCCTTCACCGTGTTCACGTTTTGCACACAAACTGTATTGTTTGCAGCAGTAGAACCATCCATTTTTTTTACTAGATAACAAGAAGGCTGCTTGTGATCTCATTTTAAAAGTTATGAAAAAATAGAGCACAACACATGCAGAACACTGAAGTTACTGTATATGCATTTAATAGATTTGCGGAGTGCTGTGAGAGTCTGTGTTTCTCCTCAAGGTTCCCTTCCCCAACAACATCCAATCAAATCAATCAATAAGTCATTTAATGAAATAATCCATGTTGAGTTTTGGGTTCGTTTTCCTTTCCCATTCATGCATCCAGTCCAAGACCAAATCTGCATCAATATTGTGTGTTATTGGTTATTAGCTGGTCATCTTTTCCCCACATACCTACCCCCCTCTGGTCAATCGATGCTGGTGTCATTCTAAACATGGAGCACCAAGAGCTGACCGGACTAGGTCATTATTGACTGCCACAAAGAAAAGAAAGGACCCTAATCGAACCCGACCAAGTGAGAAGGAATGTTGTGTGTGGGTCACATGCCTAATTATCTGCATCTGATATGTCCTTCTAGCTGGTGTAAACTATGAGCTGATGACATGTTAGGTTGGAGTAAACAACCTTGTTTTTTTTCTTCCAGCAACAGGTTTTCAGTCTTTACCTGGTTAAGCTTTGAGAAACAGGCAAATTCCTAGTAGAGCAGTGACATAATCTTGTTGGGTGACTGTTACGTAAAAAGACCTGGACAGTGATTCAATTTACACCTAAATCAATTGGAATGTTGACTGTCTGAGTCTGAGCCTACCCTCCACTTAATCAGCTTGGAGATGCAATGGCCAAACTGATTCTGATACTCGGGATATCTATCAGTACTGAGTCACAAAGCACCATCAGTTCTCTCTTTTCCCGCAAAACATTGAAATCGATATAACACTGATGCCACTGTCACCAGGCTCTGTATCTACAAAGCTGCAGTTGACTCTATGAGATTCTGTTAGATGGGCTGCACACAATTGACCTGTGTGTGTGACCCATCTCTCCTGCTTAAGTGACACTTTATAGCTCAGTTTATCAGATTGGCTGCTAGTAGCTTATTTTTAATAAGATATTGTGTCCACGGTCATGATCTAAACCACTCTACTTTAGAATATCTTGTTATAGGACTGAGAACAGATTTCTTTATTCATATCTCGTACTGAGTCTCAGCTCATCAGAGGTGTGCTTTAAAAAAATCATTTCATAACCTGTTGCCAGCGCAGCAAAGGGAGAAAACTAGCGAACTTCTAATGCGGTGAGATGTGGTATCGACAGAAGAAGAAGAAGAAGAAGAAGAAGAAGAAGAAGAAGAAGAAGAAGAAGAAGAAGAAGAAGAAGAAGAAAGAGCCATCTACGATACTGTGATTTTGTTCCAGGCACAATGTGCTGCTCCGGCAGCTGAGAACATCTAAATTTAGATGCACCCCTTGTCTCCCCTTCCTCTTCTCTACCTCGTCAGCCCCTCCTAGCCTCCCCATCTGCACTTTCCCTTTGTTGTGCTCTCTTCATCACCGCAAACACGACACGAAAGCCCCCGTGGTGAAAATATCGACAGTTCTCCCTGCGTCAGACAAGTGTCAGCTGTGATGAGTGAAGCAAGCTCTTTGTTTGTGTCACTGTGTATGAGTGTGTGTGTGTCCACAGAGCCCTGGTTACAACAGCCATTTTAAGCTGATTTCAAAGGCAGGTAATGATAGGGGATAACAATGCAGAATTATGGTGAGTGGATGTGTTTGCATTTATCTAATGGTTGCTTTCTTCTTACTTATCCTTCAGGATAAGCTGTCGCTGGAGACAGAAAGAAAAGCTAAACTGCCTGGCTTTGTTACATTTGCGGTACAAATAAAAGCCCATTAATAAGTGAATCAAATGACCTTGTTTGACAAACATGCAGTCCTACACATATCAAGATGCGCTATAGCCAGAAAATTTATACTTCGGCTGCTATACAGTGTTTAAACACTGACCTAAATTTTTTACTTAAATAAATATAATGTCAAATTATAACTTACGGGACATGCCAAATGAGTTCAATAAAGAATCTGTACATAAAAGATGGATGTAGCTGCTGTGTCTGAAGAGTTGATACAGATGTGCTTTCTTTAAATGTTACAATTTCCCCCCTAAACTGGAGTCAGTTACAGAATTTGCTTCTTTCAGTTAAATAGCTCCAAAATAAAGTGATCTGCTACTGAGAAGCAGCATAAATAATTACCCGGACAAACCTGACATTTTTCACTTTACCAAACAAAACCAGGCCGACAGAGTTATATAACAAAACAAATTTCAAGTACTTACATCATTTCCCAGCATGTTTTTAAATTCACCAGACACTTGCACTTTGTAATTATCCCCATAACTGCTTTGATCCTCTTGCTCTTACCAGGGCAGCTGGCCTCTGGCTGGCTCTGAGCTCTGGACAGCCACTTTGCTTTTGTAAGCCTCTTTAAAGTGTCCATGTTCAGGCTGAAGGTGATTTAAGTGTCTGATTAGTTCTGTTTTTCTGAACATTTTCATGGTTGTCCCCCTACAGTTTACTTTGTCAAACTTTGTTTTTTCACTCTGAGTGAAGAGCTACCACACTAACTGCATGCTAGCGTATGAATGTGAGCATGCATACAGCTATGTGCCTGCGCCGCTGTGCATGTGTTGCCCATGCATGGAGCAGACCAGTTCATAATCGGACTTTCATTAGGCTGAAAAGCTGGTCTCTGGTTAGGGCACAAAACTGTCATATGCCAGCCGTTGGCCAATTACTCGGTGGAGTTCTAAGAATAAATCACAATTCTATGAAAAATAATATGCTTTAAGGTCCAAACTTAGCATCCCACAGAGTATCACAGTGTCAATTAATAGCCACTAGCTCAACTTGGCAATATACCATCAACTATCACAAAATGTGCATGGGGTCGTTGTAGCAACGCAGCCAAAAGTCCTGTGACATCATTTATATTCAACACCAACACCACAACAATGGAGGATATTGAGACGATGGTATACCTGCTGCTCGTTGTATGGCTTTTTGTCAGACTCGGGAACCACTGTGCTGCTTTTTGTGTAGCCATTTCCCATATTGCTGGAATGTATTTTCATGAAGGGACTCATGGGGCTCATGACTCATTAACTGAAGCCACTGACTAGCCAATCAGTGGCATGCAGTCTGTTGATGTCACATTTTCAACTCAGATTGCTTGGAACCCTGGCCGAGTAGTTACTAAAAAAGTACCTGGTACCAGATACTACCACTTTATGGAAAGCCCTAAAAACAGATTCAACCCACGCTGGTACTAGTGGAAAAAGGCTATAAGATATCTAGGGCTAGAGTTAGACCCCACTTGCATAGCCAAACATGCGCCATACGGCAATAACTAATTGCGAGGGGAAAATGTGCATTCTCCAACCGATTGCTGGGGCAGTCACTGTGAAATCGAATTCTCCACTCACAAAAGCCTATAGACCGGTCAATAATGCCCACTTGTAAGCACTGTTACCCAGGGACAAGTGTGTATTCTGCAACCAGTTAGCAAGTGATTGCTGGAGGCTGCTGGGAGTCACTAGTGTTAAATTTGGCGCAAAGAGCATAGCACAACTTCTACTTTGAAGGTGAATGTTCTCCGGTTTGTGCTACACCTTTTTTGGTTTCAAAACAGCTTAAAAAATAAATGGCAAGTGTTTGCAGATGAGTCAACGCCGTCTATTGTGAAATCTTTCAATTGCACCGTTTTGTCTGACTGACAAATATACACAACTGTGCAGGTACAATAAATACATATTTGACATTTTTGTTTAAAATAAAGCGCTCATATAATTTAAAGTACCGGTAAAAACACGCTGCTGCACAAAGCAGCAGAGAGCCAGATCTTGTGATATATTTCAACACTTACACAGAATTAGACACAGACGGTGTACAGCTAGGCAAGAAGAAAGAAAGAAACATGCAGACACGAACACTCTGTTCTGTAAAAGTTACAGTTTGATGTGCTGAGACGAGAAACAGAATGTGTAAGAGGACACGAGGAGATGAACAACTTCTTTCATACTGACAGATAGAGGAATGAAAAAGAAAAAAGGAAAAATTTGGCTGCACTCAAATAAGATGCATCCCCTGCTCCCCTTGCCCCTCCTGCCCATGCCTCTCAGCCTTTACAAAGTCTCAGTGTGTGACATGTTTTTCTTATTTTCCACCAGGAAAGAGTAGGTTTGTGTTCGCCACTGAGGCGCAAAGTGAGAAACGCTTTTCTTGCAGCTGCACAGGATCTGTAATTATACGCCGCAGGAGACGCATTAGAACATAATGCCGCTACCAAACAATCACCATGCGTGCTTGCTGCTGCCGCTGCAAACCCGCTGCAGAGTTCAACACACGGCGACGCTCACAAATGTGCTGCAGCCTTTCAAAAAGGACTCGCTACAATACTAACACCTTAAAAGATAAAGCTTGTTCAATCAAATACTGTAGCTGTCAAAATAACCCCAGATACACTTTAGAGTGGATTATGCTAATGTTAACTGTAATAATAATTATTCTGTTATAACAGTTTTAGTGTCATTTTAACAATTGCAGCAAGGTATTTAAATCAATTTAAAGGAACAAGTGTTAAAGAAAATTCAGGAGGATAAAAATGATCCTCCTTCCTCTTCGAAATAACAAAACCCCAATTTTAAAAAGAATCTAAAATCTTCAAACTTTTAAAATCACAATAAATCAGATGGGGAGAGACCAAGGTTAGAACTAAGGAAAGGATACAGAAAGAAAAAACAGAAGCTATGAGGATGACGGCTGGGGAAATGAGGAAAAACAGATGAATTTGCCTTGGTGAAAGTGTCAGAAAGGTGGAATCAGAAAGTGAACAAACATAGAGAGAACGACTGACAGATTAAGTAGTTTAGACTGTAAACTGACCTTGCTGGTTGAGCTGCTGTGTGCTCTTGCTCCACTGTGACAACCCCACAATGGCCACCATCTTGGCACCCAAACTGGAGCGCCGCTTCTTAGTCCCAGTCAGCGATGCAGAGTCTGGGCCCCCGCTGCCAGGACTTTTCTCCAGGCTGTACATGGCCCCTGAGATACTGGAGGAGCGCACCACGTTCCGGGCAGCCGTGCTCAGCCCGCTCAAGCCACTCATCCCTCCCGGGCGGGGCACCTCCACGGAGCTGCTGAGCATCATGGTCCTGTTGGACTGGAGGGCCGATGGGCTGGGGGGGGAGAAGGGGCCGGAAAGTTTGGCTTGACAAAAGAGACGAGAGAGGACAGAGAGTCAGGTGATCGTGAAAGTACAAATAGGGGAGAAGAGCTCAAATAAAAGGACGTCTTGACGTGCAGTATGTCTCATAAAACACAGTGGAAAAGCTTGTCTTACAGCCGCAGCAGCAGCTCCCCGGGGCTGAAGGACACCAAGTTTCGATTTCAACCACAGTTTGGTTTTACACACTTACTGCAGAGGCAGCAAAAATGAGTTCTTACACCATAAAAGACACAGTGAAAAAGTGAAAAGCTCTAAAAAGTCTTTTTCATCTTCAACAGTTTTGAAAACTGAGAAAACAAAGAACACAAAGGTCAGCAGGCGAGGACAGTGCAGATGGCAGCACACTGTCCAAGTGAGATAAACTATATCTGTGGCATCACACACACTCACGCACACAAATGTCAGGACTGGCCTGCTGTTGAGGGGTGACCCTGTCAGCTGGTATTTGTCTCCTGTATTTTTTTTTATCTTTTTTTTTTTTTTTTGTCTGACCTTAAACAGCGACAGATGATAAACTCCAGAGCCAAGTCATCACTGGCTGGCTGAATCATGGCAGTGCGCGCGTGTACTCGCTCGCCAAACTCTGATCACCTTTGTATTCTCAAACTGATGTGTACGCCACCTTTTGTACTGGCAGAGGTACAATTCTACTAATAAAACTTTTTTTTCACTAGCTATTAAATGGGATTCAGCCATTGCTTACACCTGCAGTTGTGTTAAGCCAAAAAAAAACAAAAACCATCTGTGACTTGGGACCTTCTTTAACTCTGCTCCTTTTCTCTCCCATCACAAGAGCGATCATACGGAGGCTAAACCGACAGCCTGGAGGCACATTAAATATGTAGTTGCGCTGTGGCCGACATTGTGCTTTTATACTCGTCCTAAATATTTCTTGTTCATCACTGCGCATTTTCTATAACGCTTATCTCATTGCCTCATAAACGTTGTATCACATATCACACTCAGGTAGTTTAGATGCCTAAACTTAAAGTAATGCAGATGAGAACTAGGTCAGAATTACATCACTTCGACACATCTATTGAACCTTAGAAGATAGCTCTCTTTCAAATGACAATGGCACAAATAAATGTAAAACAAAAAGAAAAGAGCGGTTTGGCCACCCTTTCTCTTGCAAATTTAAGACCTCACAGTAGGATAATATACTGCATTAATTTAGAGCCTTAGAGCTTTCAGCCAAGTGCCCCCTTGTCTTTGGGTCTCTTTCTCCCGGACCTAACTCACAATACTGATTCTCTCCCGATCTTTAAAGCCAGTCATAAAACACATATTTTATTTAAAAATGGCCTATTCTGTTTGAATTTGAGGTTATGATGTATTAGCTTTTTATTCTATGGCGTTTCTTAACTACTTTATGTATACTGTGATTTTGGTAAGTAATTCCTTGTCAGGTGTTCTTATTTAAAGGTGAAAGTCATCTGTACATGAAATGTATTATTAGTAGTAGTAGTATTATCCTATCACAGCACTTCACTCTCAGACTGTAGGCTTACTTGTTTTTCCTAGAGTTTTGAAAAGTAAGAGCCTTCAGCTGTCAGGAGACAGACAGCATCTCTACTTTCAAGATCAGGCTTCGAAGTTTTTCATATTTGATAAAGCAAATACTTAAAGTTGGATCAGCTGCCACAGGCTTAGGCGTGCCAGAAGATTTCCCATAATGCAATGAGCACCTCTTCTCCACTTCCCTCTTTTCAGTCCCTGCGTGTTTAAATGCCATGATTGCATGCTATTGAGTTTTGTCTTCTCTCTCCAATGGCTTCTGTTTGGTCCTTTCTTTCACATAGCTGCCCCTCACTGAGCCTGGTTGTGCCGAGGTCTCTTCTTCTTCCTTCCCACTGTAACCGAGTCCTCCTCATAGGGCATCTATTATTCTAACATCTTTACAGTCTAAAGCACTTGGAGACGATTGTTGTTGTGAATTGGTGCTATATAAACAAAACTGAATTAAATTGAATTTGCCTCCCTGTGACTTTATTTACTTCCCAATGGTGAAACGCAGTGAGGTCCAGCACACATCAGAGGAATAAATACAAATGTGGTTTTAGGGCTTTTTTGTTTGTTTGTTTTTTTACAGAGTGATCCAAAAACTGCAAGCACGCTTGTAACATTGCAGAGGTGCATGAGAAGATCATCTTAAGAGAAAGATCAGTCCAAGTGTATGTATAAGGTAAGGTTTTGGATTTTTAATAGAGTAATGTCTGGGATTTTTGGTCTTCTCGCATATGATGCTAAATGAAACAATTAACTCAGGACAACAATCCTTCATCTCAATTCAGCCAGACCTATTGGAGCAGCAGAATACAGTTAATCATTCCTTACAATTGTACTACAACCACTGTGATGCCACAGTGATGCATAGTAATGTGTTTGACGCACTGCAGCTGAAATTGCCCTCTTTTAAGCAGTTTTAATCACCCTGTCCTACCATGTTTACCATGCATGTTTAGCATGCTACAATGTGCTAGCCTAATCTGATGGTATAGGAGAGCTATGGAGTTCCTCAATGTCAGTAGAATTCATCATTTTAGGATTTTAAATGTCAGTGGAAAACTTCATGGCAATCCTTCTATTCATTATTGCCAAAAAAGCAGTGGAAATTTCCATCTCTCCAGCCGTCCCACATGTGTGGCTAAAAGACTCAGTCGGTGATCGCTGGAAATGGCACAAAATGAGTTTACTATTAAAATATCCCCACTGCTGGAAATCATAAATAATATATACATACATGCAGTAAAATATGCCCTTTATGCATTTTGGAAGAGAATACATGTAAAAGCAGTGTGTTTCATTTGTCTACGTGAATCATTCTCCCAACCACTTTCTGCCACGTCACCATAAGCCCAAAGTAGCTGGCTGATTTTTAGAAGAAAACAAAGCAAAAAAATGACCAGAATAGGCAAAGTGGATCATTTTGAGGAACAATGAACTGATGTAGCAAAGGGCAGATTTTGGTATTTTGTAATGAAAGTCATAATAATAAGCTGAAGAGGAGGAGGAGGGTGAGGCAGCGGGTCTGCATGCTTTGACATTTGTTACTGAGAGGAAACAGAGGCAACAGGAGGGGGAGGAGCAGGGGCTTGAAAACAGAAATCCAGGTGAACATGTACTCCCTGTATATTCTTCTCATGTCTTTCTCCTTTTCCCCTCTCTTCTCTTCTCTCCTTTTTCTCTATTCCAGCTCTCTCTTTTCTGGCTCTCTTTGAACATGCAGTGATAGAGCGGGAGAAAATGAGGATAGGATAGAGATAGAGAGAAGGCTGCGAGAGATAAATAGAATAACTGTGGGTTTTAGAGAGGACACACAAGAAAAGTGAAGGAAACGAAAGGATGGGGACTGAAACGTGGGAGGATGAGAGATGCTTCATAATGAATGGACAGTGTAAAAAAAGGGGGGAAACTGCACAAAGCTGCAGTCTGATCTGTGTGAAATAATGGAGAGAAGGAAAGAGGAGAGGGAGAAGAATATGACACTGACAGTGACAGTAACTGAGACATCTATCCCAGCCTCCTTATTCTTTCTAATGAGATCTTCCACAGTATCAGTGAGTGTGGATCACAGGCTTAAATGTGACACAAGCTAAACTGAATGTGTGCTTCATATATGTTAATTTACTACATTAATGAATTGCATTAGAAGCTAACAAAAGTAAGTATTTTTGTTTCTTTTTCACAAAGAAAGAGTTAGAAACAGGCTGTACATACAATCAGTTACAATTCATTATTACTTATTTTCATTCATTCGTTATTAATAATCTCAGACTCTCTTCCACCGCGTGTCTTTTGTCCTGTCTTCCTCCCCTCACCCCCAACCAGTCATAACAGGTGACTGTGCCTCCCTGAGTCTGGTTCTGCTGGAGGTTTCTTCCTGTTAAAAGGGAGTTTTTCCTTCCCACTGTTACCAAAATGCTTACTCATACGGGGTCATCTGGTTGTTGGGGGTTTTGCTTTTTTCTCTGTATTTTTGCAGGGTCTTTAAAATTTAAAGCATCTTGAGGCAACTGTAGTTGTTATTTGGTGCTAACTAAAAATTTGAAAACACACTTGATATAGAAACCAGCTCTGCAAAGTGGAGCCAATTCAGAAGGGACTTTAATCTGTGTTCATTGTAGTACCCAGCAAGGGGAAAACTAATCTGCTTGTCGAAACGACCTCAGTTGAATTGGCAATCATGCTCTTAAGGAGAGTAAAATAGAAGATGAAAAAGAATATTATTTTGGGTTTGCTTACATCGTGATTAACAAGCCATGTGAGATTCACATTCATGTCATTCAGATTCACCCATCTGGTTTAAAATAAAACAACAACAAAAACCCACAAGACAAAATACTGTCTCTGTTTTAAGGCTTCAGAAATGGACTTCCAGTGGGTGGCGTCACTGTGGCTAAATCCATCTTTTATATACAGCTATGGTTCAGAATCAATGTCTTAAGCACTTCTCCACTTCCTTACACTGTACCTTAAATATAGAGCCGTGAGACGTTATCTTAGCCCAGCGTTGCAAAAAGACTGCAGAAACAGCATACCTGTCTCAGTCCATATATAGTAAATCTGCCTACCAGCAGTTCTGGTTGTCTCCAGTGGTTTCCTGGCAACAAAGTCAAATGGTTTGGGATACCACGTAACTGCTACCCCCACAGTTTGTTTCAACTGTCAAATCTTTGTCGCATACCACACATCCCTCATTCTTTGCTCATTTCCTACCTATCAAAAAAACCCTTAACCTCCTAAACAGCCACACATTTTCGGTTTTTACATTTTGTTTTGTTAAACAAAGGAGACATAATGATGAGCTTTAAAGTCACTAAGGCTACGTTCACACTGCAGGCCTTAATGCTCAATTCCAATTTTCTGTCTGCTTGTTCACACTACAAATAAAATGTGACAGCAAACGCGCTCTAGTGTGAACCCTCAAAGCCGCCCGCGTGCGCAAAAGAAGACGTCACACACAACGCGCTCTGTTTAGACCCAGACCAAACAGTATTGTTTGACTGATGGCCCTAAATATAAAGACTTGTTTCCCAATTTTGCTTTAAGTTATAACGTTATTTTGTTATTTACATATGGCCTAATAATTATCCTTATTGCTGTTTTAGAGGAGCGGTGCTTCAAAGGATAGTTGCAGATTTCTGTCAGAACCTGCAGATTATACAGTACAAATAAAATGTTCACGTTTCTCCAACGTTGTCTTCCAAACAGTTTCACTAACATCTACACTGGATGGCCAGGAAGCATTCGCGATGACGTAAAAGACGGATTTAATGCGACATGACCATTCAAACAGCAGTCGCTTCTAAAACATCAGATATGTATCGGATTCAGCACCGCATACGAAAGTGACCCAGTTCGGTGCACACCATTGTTTTTCTTGTGACAATAATAAGTTTGATGTGTCACATGGCCCTCTTCCTATTGAAAAAACAAAAGTTGTATCCAAGATGGCCGACTTCTAAATGGCCACCATGATCACCACCCATCTTGAGGAGTTTGCCCCCTCACATATACTAATGTGCCACAAACAGGACTGATTGGAATGATTTTTTTCCCTTACAGTGTGCCATGATGTATCAAGCCAAACAAAATATAATACATTTAAAGTGGGTCAGATCATTTCAGTAATAAGTAATTCTTTTGTTCGTTTGTATACTGCAGTGACATGGTTACACCACCTACCATTCTTTCAGTCTGTCTACTTCTAAAATCTAAGATATAATGTCACCGCTCAATATGGCACTATGCACCTGTCCCCATACAGCGTTTTCCTCAACCTACAGGCAGACTCAGAGCCCATCCATCCTCATCTCTATGTCAGACAGCTCCCTCGCCATATGTCTCTGTGCTCTCTAACTTCTCATCTCAAAGCTCATTTATTTCCCCTCCTGTCAGCAAACCACCCTCTCCGCCCATTCTGGTGGCTCTGAGCTCACCCTCCACACCTCAACATAACCCGTCTCCAGCCCGCAGAACCCCTAGCTTTCACTTATTAAAGTGCATCAGGTGGAGTCAAGTAAAAGTTTATATCTATAGTACATTTTAACAACCTCAATTGATTAAAGTGTTGTACATGTTATACAAAACATACACTAGACATAACAGTTACTAAATTAACAATAAATATACCGTACAACTCATCCGGTAAAATAAAGTGAATAAGACTGCTTAGTCAAAGCCAGGGTACCCTTCTCAACTGGAACTGAAAGCAAACAGGAATAAGTAGGTTTTCAACTTTATTTAAAAAACAAAAAACAAAAACCTCTTTCACTCCCCTAAGGTTAAATATGACTTAAAGTTAGCATGTCAAAACCAATTCACTGTTTCGTTCTTTACCTTTTTTTAGGCTTTTGTGCAAAGTCTTTTTCTGCCCTGTGCCTTCACATGTTTTTAACACAGATTAGAGAAGCATCCATTAAAATATGAATTTGATGGTCCTCTCATTTAGCTTTCAGTAACAACACAAAGCATGTTTACCAATGTTCACGTGTTTCACAGTTAACAGCTTATTTTGGTAGTTAACTGGTCAGAAAGGCCCATAAAAAAACAAGGACAGCATTTATATATTCAATTGAGTTCAATTCAATTCAGTTTTACTTGTATAGATCACAACAACAGTCGCCTCAGGGCGCTTTATATTGTAATTAAGAGACCCTATAGTAATACAAAGGAAATCCCAACAATCAAATGACCCCCAATGAGCAAGTAGTTGGTGACAGTGTGAAGGAAAAAACTCCTTTTTAACAGGAAGAAACCTTGGGCCGAACCAGGCACCTGGAGGTGTAACCAGCTGGGGCAGAGAGGAGGAAAATAGGATCAAAGACACAACAGGACGAATGACAGATACACTTCATGTTTTGAGTCTTCCAGGTTTAAACTAATACCAGCTTCCAGAAAACCATGTAAAAACCAAAAACAAAACTGGACTGTTTATAGGCAGCATAATTCAGCTGCTGAAAGAAAGCCCAGAGAAACAAAGGAGCGGGGGAAAAAACTTCTCTTTTCTCTTCCTCTCGTAAAATGCCACAACCTTGTAATTAGATATGGCTGAGCAATCCATTAATGGTCTCTTAAAAGTTGCTCTCTACTATGCAGACTACACTGGCCGTGCACTTAATTAATTGGCAATTTAGCAGCAGTGTAGATATTAAAGATTTACTGTACAGTAGGTGTGAGTGTGTCATCAGGTGACTCACCCCTCAATGTAAACTGACCCCGATAAACAATCTTACCTATTTTAACTTGTCTTTTCTCATCTGCTAATGCTGTTACTATTTACTCCCTCTGCTGATAGTTATTACTGTTTTTAGTTAGCGTATATTATTTTCTAAGAGACATATCTATTTTCATGCATCTTTGCCAAAAGCTTTTGGCTGAATTTTCCCACATGGGACAGTGAAGGGTAAAGTGAGCTAGATCACAACTAAATTAATATGGGGGAGTGTATTAATTAAGACAGTGTTGTTCATTTCATATCAGTCAGATGACATCAGGCATTTAGAGGCACACAATATACAACTTACACTATGACAACCAGATGTTAACTATAAAGAGCATGTATATTACTGAAGTTGATAACAGCTGTCCTGGCTAACAGCACTTTTTGGTTCAGTTTAGAGATGACATGATACCACTTTTTTATGTTCGATACCGATACCGATATCATAAATTTGGATATCTGCCGATACCGATATGAATCCGATAGTGTTTTTTTAATCAATAAAACTGTTTTTTAATATCTTGCTGCATTTTGTATAAGTTCATATTCAAGTTTAAAAAAAATAACAACTCTAAAGCTATTCTGTTATATCTGTATGCAAAAAAATACACTGCACCCAAAATATTTCATAATTCAGCAATACTGATCAGTCTAATAAACTTAAACCTACACCATCCTCCCTATTCTGGTATTTTAAAGAGTAATTAGCGTAAATATTAAGCAACCTTACTAATAGGGTTCCAACTCCCAGCAACAAAAAAAAAAAAGGGAACCACCCCCCACGCTCCACCTCATGATGCTTAATCGACGTAATCAACCTTAATTTGATGCAGTGTGAAAAAAAATGCACCAAAATCAATTATTTTTCAAGAAATATTAAATAGATTCAACATCTTTCTTCTACAGAATTGCAGACTGCACAGTTGGTGCCTTCCCAAAGGAAAAAGTACTATAGCTTACTAGGGTATATTAGACTTAATAGTCACTATATACAGTAATGGACTTCTATTCATTTTACATCAAATTAAAACTTTGGGTGTAAGATTCAGATAATTATTTAATACAAGTGAGACATTTTAAATGAGAATAAGAAAGAAAAGTATGTATTTTTGCCCCCTTTTCCCTGTTAATGCCCTACTTGCCCCCCTGGTTAAACTTTGCTAGATCCGCCCCTGCACAGTTACCAGCCGTCAGCTACGTAGAAAAGGATCCTGGTGTAGAACATAATATTAAATAAATTCTAACAACAGCTTATCAAGGTTAAACGTGCTGCTGTTGTTTATCCGCTGGTTTCCTCTTTCTGGTGCAAAGTGGGTGATAAACAAACAAGAGAGACGGAGTTGCGACAGAAAAGCCGATCAGCTGATCATTGATCAGTTTCACGATTGAAGTAGCAGCACGAGAGGGAGGGAGACAGAAGAAGCAGTCGATCCATATATCGGTTGTTAAGCTTAACGTGGGAATGCTTTACAAACATTCAGAGATGAACTTACACACTTGCTTTACTTCTCTCTGGGATAACTTTGTCGGAGATGAAATGCCGGGTTGGTAGCAAGGCTCCAAATGCTCAACCAGACCACCGACAGGTCTCGCACGCCACAGCCGCTCTATCATGTGAGCACACTGCTCCGACGTGTTAAGGTTATGAGCCGAGTTACGCCATGTCACAAGTTTTGTGAGGTGCTTTCGTTATATTTAATGGATCGAATTACATTTTTTATTTCTCTGCGATATCCGATCCAGTAATTTAGGCCAGTATCGGACCGATACCGATATGTAATATCTGATCGGTCCATCTCTAGTTCATTTCATTATAAATTAAGGAACTGTGCAGATAAAATTCCATCCAGCACAGAAATTGATATCTGAATTCGGACTAAAGGAACAACATGCCAACTGATTAAAAAAACAAAACAAAAAAAAACCCCAGAATCTGAGTTTGTCATTGTTCCCTGTGTCTCCTCGGGATGTTGTTGTTGTAATCTCTCTCTCTTGCTCTCCTCTGCCAGGGTGGAACTCATTGCGGGTTCCAGCAAATAATCACGCACCTGCTTCTTGTTCTCCGGACACTCCAGCTACTACTTAAGGTGATGGCTCAGTGTTTCTCATCGCTGGATCGTTACGACACTTGTCGGTGTAACCCCATCTCTTTCTAGTGTATTCTCATTCCCGGTGTTTTTCCTGGCTTCCAGTCATGTTTTCTAGTCTATAGATCTTGCTGGACCCGTCCCCCGTTTCCACTTCTCTGAGGACCCAACTGACACTGCACCCATCCTGCAACCTACCTACACCATTGGGACCATTGCATGGGAAATCGAGTCATCGTTCCAAGAAGCACAGGGACCAGGCCACTGGCATGCCTCTGTCTTCTCTATAAAATGGACTATGGATTCCAGGCCACAGGGGGAGAGGATTTCAGTATCTGGCGGACTGGGAGGGCTATGGCCCTGAAGAACACTCCTGGATTTTGCGGTCAGTGGTTCTGGACAAAACCAAGCTTTGAGAGTTCCACCCCTGCATCCTGGCAAGAATGATGGGTCGCCAGCAGGCTCCCATTTAAGTTCGGGGGGTACTGTCATGGTTCCCTGTGTCTCCCCAGGCATGTCTTTGCTGAGTGGTGCGTGTGGCCGAAGAAGAGTGTGCCC